GCAGCACACCTGACACATCTCAGGCTACTGGGCAGACCACTCAGGTTTCATCCACACTTACTAGTATGGGAGCCACCCAGTACTTACCACGGCCTCTGCTTCTTCTTTAGGAGCAGCTCGCTTTAACTTCACTGAAGTAGTTCCACCAGGGGACAATGGTGGCAGCTTCACAGGGTCCGAAGGACTTTTCCTATGCGTTAAGTCATGGTTCTGTTTAGTGTCATTATTATTGTGTTCCATTTTATTGTTCATAGGCAAATTGGAAGACAAAATTAGGGGTGAAACACTTGGAGAGGAATTTGATAATTTTTGAAAGGCATTACTGGTAAAGCTTGCCTGAGGGGGAGGCTTCAGTCGATCATTATCTCCATTCTCTGTCTTTTTCACTTTTATGGTTGTACTTGTTGAACTTCCATCAAATACAATAAGGGGTCTTTTTCTTACCCCGTCTACAGCGGTATTCCTGAAACCAAAGAAACAGACTCCTGAAAAACACAATCTGGAAAGGCAAACCCATTCACTGGAATTCAAAGTTAAAATAAACAATAACAAAAAAAAAAAAAAAAAGATTTACTGATAAGACTAATTCATTGTAAGTACGACCCCCGGAAATGACATTTTCTATGTTCACTCTATATGAAATGGTAATTTTCTTGTGATTTAAAGTTTAAAACATTTACTTATAAAAAATTTAAAGTAAGCTTTAACGTATACACAAGATAGTTACTTTTAAAACACAAAGCAACAAACTAACCCTAGAAACAGGATTTACTACCTTAAAAAAAAAAAATTCCAGCTTATTGATAGTGTTATTTTGATCATTCATCAGTTATTATTTAGAAAGGATAATAGACTATACTACAGTGGCAGTCTACAAACCATGAGGCAGAACATTCTATTCCATTCATTAAAAGTCAACTGGACTGTGGGACATAAAGCGATACTCATGAGGAGTGTGCCTCTTAGCTCAAGGAGATCCAAGAGACTAAATGGGCAGCTTCAGTCTGGAGGTGAGATGGGAAGGCAGAGAGGGTCAGGAGCTGGGTGAATGGACATGGGGAATCAGGGGTGGAAAGGAGGAGTGTGCTGTCACAGTATGGGGAGAGCAATTAGAGTCACATAACAATGTATGTATAAATCTTTGTATAGGAAAAAAAATTTTTTAAAAAGTCTTTAAAGCCACAGTATTCTCTAAACTAATTGTAATTGTAACATTTGTGCAATCTGTAATTTTAAGATTTGGGGACTCTACATTTAGCTTTGAAAAAGCTAATCTCCATTCTTCATCATAAAGTAAATAATCAAAACATTCATTATTCATTTATACCACAAGTTATGTAACAATTAAAAAAAAAACCTTACAATTAAACAGGTTAAAAGAACTTGAGAAGCCAGTCACTTGAAGAACACTTCAGCCTTACAATACAAAATATGGTCGGGGGACCAGGAGCATCACTGTTGCCTTGGGAGCTTGTCCGAAATGCAGAATCTGGGACCTCATCCTGAATTAGTGAATCAGAATCTGCATTTTTTAACCAGATTCCCAGGTGATTGGCCAAACTCACCAATTCTTAGGACACCAATAAACATTATCTGACAGATGATGGAAAAATAAGCTCACTGTATACTCACTGTAACTACAGAAGGGAAACAAAATGAACTGAGATAGGGCTCACCAGCTCATGAGTTCAATCTGAGATTCCCAAGCATGTAAAAGTTAGAGAAGCACTGCACTAAGCATCTTAGTCATCTCGTGCTGCTATAACAGAAACACCACAAGTGATGGCTTTAATAGTACCTAAAGCTATGTGACAGTTTCTACATTATTCAAAGTCCTTAGAGTCTTACAGACAATGTTCCACTGCTATTCATGAGGTTTTCACCGGCCAATTTTTTCAGAAGTAGACTTCTAGGTCCTTCTTCCTAGTCTGTCTCAGTTTGGAAGCTCAGCTGAAACCTGTCCACCAAGGGTGA